AGAGTCAGTGTAGAAGGGCACTACTAAAGAGGGTGGCTGTAAGGGAGGCAAAGAATGTGTGACCATTTCTTGCAGTCTCTGACAGTTGGTCACATTTGACATGTGGACTATGTGAGGGCTGTTGAAATACAGGAGTAGAGTGAATCCAAGAGGGATTCTAAAGGAAGAGACAAATGAATGGGTGACAGATAGTAGGGAAGAGTCAGGGATGACTTCAAAGTGGTTAGTCTCAAAGAGTGAAAGGTTAATGGTGCCATGGATGTAAATGGGGATGATTTGGAGTGTTCGGAAAAACTCCTCTGAGAGAAGGTGATATCTCTGCATCTCTGTTACCTCAAAAGAGGCAACATGGTGAGGGGCTAGGGATGAAAGGTAATAGGGGAAATAGTGACACAGGATTTTTCTTGGTCACTTTGCAACAAGTTGGGGCCCTCCAACTGGCGATACCCCTGCCCGGGCCTTCCTTAGCCACACTACCTGCTGCAGAAGAGAGCCCGCCCACTTGGCCTGCCAGGGACATGCTTGGCTTGAGCACTGGCTCAGCCTGTGGCTGGGCCAGGTGTGCCCCTGCCCACCTGTGTTATAGCTCATACCCATGTTTGGCAGTTCCTGAATTCTTATCCCATGCCCAAGAAGAATGAGGATATGCCTACCATTGAAGGGTGATGAGGGCGGAGAATTTTATTGAGTAACAAAACAGCTCTCTGTGGAGAGGCAATGGGAAGATGCTGTCTCATCTGAAGTTGAGTTGTCTCCCAATGTGCCTAAGTACAGGGCTTTTATGGGCTCAGAATAGGGGAGTGCATGCTGATTGGTTTGTGAGCATGAAAAAAAGTAAAAAAAAAAAAAAGGCATCACTCAAAGGTGGGCATGATAGTGTTATAAAAAGCATTTAGGGAAGGGTAAACGGTGGAGATCAATCAGAGGAAAGTGCGCCAAGCAAGAAGGCAGGTTCTCAATCTGGTCTGTGGATTTCACTTGTAGCTTGACTTTCAGGCTTTAAACTGTCTTTGGCTTGTAGGTGGGGTTTCACTGGGGACCCGCCCCTATCTACCTAGGCATTTGTCTGCCTCATGCCTCTATTAATAGGGACAATTCTGTTTCAAATAAAGGTGAAGTATAGAAGGAATATTGGATGTGGTTTGCAGAGAAGTAGAGCACTGAAATGAGATACAAGACTTGGAGGAAAAAGTGGGGAAGAGGCAAGAGAAAGTTTGAAGACAACACTGTCTTTTAGGTTTATTTTCCTACAGAAAACCCACAGGGCCCTGGGAGCTGAGGAGTGGTAAGGACTTGGTTATTTGTGGGATAGGTAGTAGGAAGAGAGGTCCTGCCGACCTGCTGGCAAATAAACTTGGAACTTTTTCTTACTGAGTTGGAGTCTGGAAGCAGCTCATTCTTCTGGGGCTAGGTGTAGACATAAACTTGGTGGGGGAGCTAGAGGAGATGTTAGCATCAGGCAGGAAAGTGAGAAGTCACCTCTCATCACATGCAACACATTTTCCTATCTTTCCAAACATCTCATTCATTTCTCTATTAATGTATTAGTCCCATATTTGGAATTCTTGTCACCCATTGACTTTTCCTGGTTTATTGGCAACAGTAGAGAGAAGAAACTCTTGGTAAACTTCCATCCCTTGTTGTCCTTGAAAGTAATCTCTCTTAAGAAATCATCTTTGAGTATTAATTATATGTAGAGTCACTCATTTTTGTTTGTTAAAAATTGAACACAATTTTTTATACTGTTAATTGAAATGGGTATAATGACTCTTTACATTGAACAACTCCCTAGTGGAGGGCCTTGAGTTCTTGGCCTCAATTTCCTCATTTGTAAAATAAAGAGGCTAAGCCCACAGGATAGGCAGCCTTTAAGATGGCCCCCAATAGTCTTTACCTCTTGTTTTTTTCACTTGTGTAATCCCCACCCTTTGAGTATAGGGTTGATGTAGTGAATTACTTCTAACAAATAAAATATGGCAAAAATGATAGGATGATGTTTCTTAGATTAGGTTACAAAAGGACTGGTTTTTATCTTGGGTACTTTCTTGCTCACTTAACTTGATGGAATCCAGTGGCCATGTTATAAACTATCTTTTGGAGAGGCCTACATGGCAAGAAATTGAGGGAGTACAACAGTTAATGAGGATTTAAATTTAGCTAGCAACCATAGAAGTGAGCTTGGAAGGAGATCCTCCCTCAGTCATGCCTTCAGATGAGACCATAGACCTGGTTGACAGGTTAACTGCAATCTCATGAGAGATCTTGAGCCAGAGTCATTCAGCTAATCAACACTTAGATTCCTGGACCAATGAAACTGTGAGATAATAGATGCTTGCTATTGAAGCCACTAGGTTTTGGAAGTAATTTGTTAAGCAGCAACAGATAGAAAATACACCTTTTGAAGTGGGGTACTGTCATAACAACTACCTAAAATGTAGGAATGTCTTTGGGGCTAGGTAGTGGGTAGAAGCTGAAAAATCTTTAGGGATTTTAGAAGACTACTGATGAAAGCTTGACTTTGAAAATACTTTTTGTAGAATTTTGGACCTTAAGGATGCTATGGATGAGGGCTTTCAGGAAACTGAAGAAAATCTTACTGGAAACTGGGGAAGGACCTTTGTTATGTAGTGACAAAAGCTTAGCAACACTGTCTCCTGCAGTTAAGTGGAAAATGGAAAATGTGCCTAGTGAACTGGGTAATCTAGCTAAGGAGATTTCTAAGCAAAATGTCGAATGTGCCACCTGATTTCTTCTTGATGGTTATAGTACGAGGAGAGAGGAAGGTTGAAGTAAACACTGTTAAATAGGAGATATCCAGGACTTGATAGTTTTTGAAATTCTCTTCTAATGATAAATTATGCTAAAATTAAGCAATGGTTTCTAAGTAAGGGTCCAAATCAGGGCACTGTCAGGAAAACCAGTCCAGAGGTGATATCAAGAGTGTGACTGGGCCGGGCGCGGTGGCTCAAGCCTGTAATCCCAGCACTTTGGGAGGCTGAGACGGGCGGATCACGAGGTCAGGAGTTCAAGACCATCCTGGCTAACACGGTGAAACCCCGTCTCTACTAAAAAATACAAAAAACTAGCTGGGCGAGGTGGTGGGCGCCTGTAGTCCCAGCTACTCGGGAGGCTGAGGCAGGAGAATGGCGTAAAAACCTGGGAGGCGGAGCTTGCAATGAGCTGAGATCCGGCCACTGCACTCCAGCCTGGGCGACACAGCGAGACTCCGTCTCAAAAAAAAAAAAGAGTGTGACTGTAATACTTTAAGACCTCAGAAATATCAAGGTTGTGCCTGAGTACCAAGCACAAAAGAAGACCTTTTCAAGAAGTTAAGAATGTGTTTCAGAGGTCCTTTCAATAAAATAATAGGGATACTAGAACCTTTAAAGATCTTTCAGGCCTTAGCTGTGGATTTTATCTAATGAAACAAGTATCAAGAAGATACATTGGAGATCCATAAAATTCCCAAATGAGTTACATCAGCAGAAACTCTGTCGTCTTGGATTGAAAAGAAGACAGTACAAAATAAAAAAAGGCATTTGGGTCACTGTAATTCTATTAGAAGGAAGAAGGCTGAGAAAACTATTCAGCTATAACTGTGTGCTACTTTTCATGAAAAAGGAAAAATGACTCAGAGGGCAGGACCAAGGACCCAAGAGCAATAATGAATTATTCCCAAGTTTTGAATAAATCAAGGAGTTTCCATCATTTTCAGCTGGATTTCATAATTTTTCTGGACCAGTAATTCCTTTGCATTTCCTATTTTTGAGTGGTAATAGTTATGTGGTTATTCTATGCCTACCCCGTCATTGTATGTTGGGTGTGTGTGGGGATGTTAACTTGTCTTTTTTAGTTTCACAGGTCTACAGATTGAGAACAGTAGTTAGGGGGCTGTATGTACCTGAGGAACTATACCCAAGGAACTTCATCTACACCTGGACCTGATTTAGATGATGAGATTGTGGATTTTGATTGGAAACTATAACAAATGAGACCTTTGATGACTTCGAGAAGGGTGGAATATATATTGCATATGGGAGGGACATGTGCCAGAGGGTGGACTGTAATAGGCTGCCTGTAATGTTTCCCAAATCATCCCTGCCTCCTGATATTCATGTCTTTGTGTGCTCTCCTCCTCTTTAATATGGGCTGGACTTGGCGACTTGCTTCTAACAAATAGCGTATGATAAAAGTAATGTGATGTCACTTCTAACATTAAGTTATAAAATACTTTTGGCCATTCTTTCATTTGTTTGCTCTAAAGAAAGCCAGCTGCCATGTTATGAGCTTCCTTATGGAGTGCCCACTTGGCAATAAGCACTGAGGAATTAGGGCCTGCTAACAGCAACTGGAGCGAACAACTCAGAAGTTAATCCTTCCCTAGTGCAGCAAAAGATGACTATTAAAGCCAGATGTCTCACATCTGTAGGAAATGTGGTATTGCATTTAGATCCAGAAGTTGTGGGTTTGAACCCTGGTGTCCTGTGTGATCTTTGGCAATACACTTAAACTGTTTGAGTATATCAACATCTTTATGTAAAATGTGAATAATAATTTTTCCATCTACTTCATAGGGTTATTGTGAAGATTAAGTGAGGTTAGTGTTGAGAAAATGCTTTTGAAACTGAATCGCTCTACAAACATTATAGGTGTTAGAAATGAAACTGGCATGCTGATGAATGTCAGCTGTTACTGGAGTCTAGATAAGGGCACCTGGGGACGTAGGCTAGCCCTTTCTCATTTCTTTGGCTGACAGAGTGCTAAAAGAAGGTGCAAACCTAAGACCGAGGCTAGGTAATAAGACACTTCATGTGATAACAGGACATTTTCCTTATGGCCTGTGGGAAAACCTGCACCTTACTGGGGGTGCAATGGGGGCCTAAGCCCCTGACTCCTGCCTCTTGGCCTGACATCATTTGGACTTACTCTGGGGAAGGCACCCATTTTTCCCCAGAAGATGCCTTTTGGGGCCCTTATTTATCTTGGAACCAAGTCATTTTTCAGACAAGGTCTTTCACTACCTGCTTGACTTGTTGGTTCCTCAGAGTATAGATGAAGGGATTTAACAGGGGGGCAATAATTGTATTGATTAGAGACACTCCCTTGTTGACATCAACCCCCTTTCCTGGAGAGGGCTTGACATACATAAAGAAGCAGCTGCCATAACACATGGTAACCACAATGACATGAGAGGAACAGGTAGAGAAAGCCTTCTTCCTCTCCTGGACAGAGGGGATTCTGACAATCGTCCGGACGATCTGGACATAGGACAGGGTGATCAGTACCAAGGTGCCGAGCAGTGCTACTAAGGCCAGGGTAAAATCCACCATCTCCAGCACCTTTGGCCCACTGCAGACGACCTCCATTAGAGGCGTGTAGTCACAGAAGAAGTGGTTGATGTGGGTATCACAGAATGGAAGCTGACTGGTCAGGATGACAGGCACTATGATGAAGGAGAACCCTAGTAGCCAGCAGGTGAGGATGAGCTCTGTGCAGACTCTACTGCTTATGAGCACAGGGTAGTGGAGGGGCTTGCAGATGGCAATGTACCGGTCATAGGCCATGGCTGTGAGGAGGAAGAACTCTGTGGCCCCCAGGAAGATGTGGAAAAAGTCCTGGGTAATGCACCCAGCAAAGCTAATGGTCTTGGTCCCCGTGGCAATGTTGAGCAGCATCTTGGGGACGATGACTGTCTGGAACCAAATTTCTAAGCAGGACAGATTCCGGAGAAATAAGTACATAGGTGTCTGCAGGCGCGTGTCCAGCAAGGTCAGGCTGATGATGGTCAGGTTCCCAGACACAGTCACAAGGTAGGCAAGCAGCAGGAGCAGAAAAACGGCCACCTGAAGCTCTTTGGTGTCCGTCAGGCCTTGGAGGAAGAACTCAGTCACCACAGTCTGATTGGCCATTGTGGACCTCAAGCCCTTTCTAGAAATGTGCAATTCTGGGCAGATAGGACCATCAGAAATTAGGATGAAAAGGGAAAAATTTCTCCTGAAATGCATCTTTTTTTTCCCCTCCCTGCCACTTCCCCATGGATTCAGGAAAGCAGAGCAGAAGCTTCTGGAGGTTCTTCCCTAGAAAGAAAAGTTGCCTTTTTCAGAATCTGAGGAATTATTGAATGACAGTGACTTTCCTGTCTCCCTCCCTGTTTTCCTCCCTGTTTTTTTCTTTTATTGCTTCCTTTTTTTCTTTTGTTTGCCTCTGAGAAAGCCTAGAAAGAATTCTCTGCTGCTCTTCTCAGTCCTCTTTAGAACTGTCACTCACTCACTCATCTTTCAAGATCCAGCTCAAGTGTGACCTCTTCTATGAAGACTTTTCTGTAAGTCCTAGGCTGAATTAGCTGCTTCCTCATGGCTCCCGTAACATAGTTTTTCCATAGTCAGCTATATAGGCTAGAGCCTGTCTTATGTGCTAAACCACCAACACTTTGAGCTCACAGACTTTTTGTTCATCTGAGGATCTTAGCACTTACCTCCCCCTTTCTAGTAGAGGCACTGGCCTTCTCAGATCTGCATTCACAACAAAGCTTCCTAGTTTGTAAAGTATTGCTTGCATATGTAGCATGTAGTTTTGGAAGAAGAAGGCATTTTCACTTACCCTGCTATTTGCTTACACTAGATCTTCATTAAAAACTGCCTGACATTTGCATCTGAACTGTAAGAGATTTGAAGATAGTGAATATCTTACTCATCCTTGTTCACTCCCCTCTCTCATATTCATTCTTGGGGCCTGGCATTTGATAGTCATCTACAGAAATGAAACCCTGTGAGGCTTATTACACTCATCTTTTGATAAGGAAGGTAAAATCCAGAGAAATTAACTATTGGTCTAAGGTACAGTGAGATTCTAAAACTTATCTCGGAGCCACTTGAATATTTTCTTGCCATGATCAGATTCACTAAAGCTCTCAGGCTTGTTATTTTACTGAGTAGAAAAGGGACTTTTCCCCCCTGGAAAAATCTGTAAAAATCTAAAGAGTGATTCGCTCTCTTTTTTTTTTGTTTGAGACTGATGGCCCAGGAACTCCATGGCCTCTGCCACTGGTCTTTAAATGGGGAGGCTGCTCACATCACGGGATATGCCACACGATCCACTGGGGTATGAGAAGGAGATATGAGATCCTTCAAGTTATATGATATTTCATAAAATCTAGAATACAGTCTAATATGAAATACAGTATTCTTTTATGTGCCATTAAGAAAGAAAAAAGACTGCCAAGAAGACTATGGCATTATGCTAAGATACCATTGATTGTAAGACAATCTCAATCTCAGAGATGTTAAAGTGGGTGTCTTGAAGTTAATGAACTATGGCATTTATCTTTAGCTCATTAAAACGTCTGTTTTTAGCATGATACTGGTATAAAAATAGGCACACAGGCCAATGGAACAGAATAGAGAACCCAGAAATAAACCCAAATACTTATATCCAACTGATCTTCAACAAAGCAAACAAAAACATAAAGTGGAGAAAGGACATCCTATTCAACACATGGTGCTGTGATGATTTGCAAACCACATGTAGGAGAATGCAACTGGATTCTCATCTCTCACCTTACACAGAAATCAACTAAAGATGGATTAAGGACTTAAATCTAAGACCTGAAACTATAAAGATTCTAGAAGATAACATTGGAAAAAGCCTTTAGACTTTGGCTTAAGCAAGGATTTCCTGACCAAGAACCCAAAAGCAAATGCAATAAAAACAAAGATAAATAGTTGGAACTTAATTAAACTAAAGAGCTTTTGCAAGGCAAAAGGAACAGTAGGCAGAGTAAACAGACAACCCACACAGTGGGAGAAAATATTCACAATCTACACATCTGACAAAGGACTAATATCCAGAATCTACGACAAACTCAAGCAAATCAGTAAGAAAAAACAATCCCATCAAAAAGTGGGCTAAGGACATGAATAGACAATTCTCAAAAGAAGATTTACAACAAATACATGAAAAAATGCTCGGCATCACTAATGATCAAGGAAATGCAAATCAAAACCACAATGCGATACCACCTTACTCCAGCAAGAGTGGCCATAATCAAAAAATAAAAAAACAGTAGATGTTGGCATGGATGTGGTGAACAGGGAACACTCCTACACTGTTGGTGGTAATGTAAACTAGTACAGCCACTATGGAAAACAGTGTGGAGATTCCTCAAAGAGCTAAAAGTAGAACTACCATTTGATCTAGCAATCCCACTACTGGGTATCTCCCCAGAGGAAAGAAGTCATTATTTGAAAAAGATACTTGCACATGTATGTTTATGGCAGCACAATTTGCAATTGCAAAGTTGTATGTATATATACACATACACACACACACACACACACACACACACAATGGAATACTACTCAGCCATAAAAAGGAAGGAGTTAATGGCATTTGCAGCAACCTGGATGAGACTGGAGACTGTTATTCTAAGTGAAGTAACTCAGGAATGGAAAACCAAATATCATATATTCTCACTAATAAGTGGTAGCTGAGCTATGAGGATGCAAAGGCATAAGAATGACACAATGGACTTTAGGGACTCATGGGGAAAGAGTTGGGAGGGTGAGGGATAAAAGACTACAAATTGGATTCAGTGTATACTGTTTGGGTGACGAGTGCACCAAAATCTCACAAATCATCACTAAAGAACTTATTCATGTAAACAAACACCACCTGTTCCCCAATAACCTATGAAAAAAACCCCAAAAAACCCCACCAGCCTCCAAAGCTCCGTAGCTTACAAAAGTCTGTTTTTGTGTATATTTTAAAACACAAAGTATACATTTACATAGTAGTGGTGCAAATAACTTAAACATTAATAAACATACCCATATATTGGGGATATTTTCCCGATTTTATTTTTACTGATGGGATATATTAATTTAAAAACTTTGGAGAATTCTTACCTAGGGATTTGCTGCCTGTCTTCCCACCTACAACCAGCCAGTGTTTGCAAAAAGGCCCATTTCTGAGGAGGAGAAGCAGTTCTTCAGCTTCAGTTTTTCTTCAGCTTAAAAAGAGAGAGCTCCCACCAGGCCATAGGGAATTTGCTGAATGATTTGGAAACCTTGGTCTTGGGTGACTTCTGTGGTCTGGCAAGGCAAGCTGTGACATGCAGCTCCCTTCCTTTCTGTACAACGACTTGTTACCTGGGAAGCAGCCTCAGAGATTCACCAGCCTAGGGACAACACAAGCTCTTCAGGTCTCTAATGATTTCCTAAAGAGGGAGCAGAGAGTTTAACGGCCCAAATGGCCTGTGTGGTTTCATGAAAACAGCTCAGCCTGGCAGCAAAATGTGGAGGCAATTCTGTAGAAATAATCTCGGAATTAAGTTTCCACAGAAATTTATTTTTGACTGTCTTCATTTCTCTCTGGCCTTCTCCAACCTACCTGTCCCTTCAGCAGCAACAAGCCAAAAACGTAGCTATCTGTAGACACAATTCTGTTGCTCAGTCAATATCCAAACCACACAGCAGAGGGTTAGAGTCTGGATTGAGGCTGGAAGCCTCTTCCCCTTTTTATCATGGCGCATGATTTCTGCTGGGAATCTAAGGTTCTGAAGTTTTGGGTCATGTAAGAGGCTTCTGTACAGGTTCCATCCAATGGAAAGGGACACTTGCTTTATAGACTCTTTTAATGTAGACCCAGGGGATCAATTCAGAAGGTGGGAGGGCGGGGTGGGGGGTGGGGGAAACAAACAGTGCTCAGGGGAATCTGCTCTCAGAATTCACTAATGAACTTAGAATATGGCTGCTCTGGCCTCGTAAGCAAAACAATTTGCAAAAAATCTTCAGAGAAGATGACAAAATATTTGCCTAAGAATTTACTCCTAAATAAATATTTGTGTCACTGTCAGTTGTTAATAATGTAATTAGGTAACATCAATTGGGTGAATATTTTTGAGGGCTGATAAGTGGAGGGGAAGGCATCAAAGACAACTTTGGCACAATTTTGGTTAGTCCAGCCCCAGTCATCTGTAAGTGTCCAGCCTGTTTAGCAATTTTAATTTGCATTGAAATTTTATTGCTAAAATACACTCAGCTTTTGCACAGCACATGGGTAGCTCTGCACAGTGCGAATGTAGTATGCTACATCAGAAGTCAGACAACTTAAATACTAGCTGTAGTTCTGCTGCTGACACAGGGATCTTGTACAACTCTTTTTCCTTTCCTGAGTCTTAATTTTTCAGCTTCTAATAGCACCTTATAGCTAATAATGGCATGGTGTGAACCAGGATGTCTTTTTGTTTGTCTTAATTTCAATGTTTTTAAGCTTCAAGGGCCTTTCCTTAAACTTCTTGTATTCTGGAGTGAAGAGGTTTCTGCTTACTTTTTCCATGCCCTTCCTGATCTCACCTGAAATCCATTCTCTCTTTTTGCCTGCTTTCCCTGAAGACTCCTAATCATTTTTATATGCCATGATAGAAACCATCCCACAATGTCTTTCTCTGAATTTTTTCTAACGTGTTTTTCTTCAGATAAAACAACTAGAAGAGGAGATGGTGTAGCAATATTACTTTTGCAGATATATACAGATAATACAATATATACAGTGTTATAAAACACTCATGAAAAGTATTTAAAAATGAACAAACTCAATACAACCCAAGGAATACCGAAGCAGAACTATTTAAGAATTACTGGAAAAGTGCATACAGATTTCATAACGAAAGAGAAACAAAACTGGTGGATGTGTAATACTGAACCATTCACATGTTCAGTAATTCATTTAGCAAATATTTGTGGAGTTTCTGCTATATGTTCGGCATGACACTGTTGAAGATGCTGAGATATGATTATGGGGAAGACAGAATGAAAGCTTTTTTCCATCTTTTGCTTTTAATTAATTAAAAAATCCAACATTTATTTTGGATTCAGAGGGTACATGTACAGGTTTGTTATATGGGTATATT